ACTCCAGTCAGCTTTTTCACAGACTTCCTATGCCATTTTAGGTATGTCTCTTGGTCTTCTCATCTGGAGAATGGGCATGAAATGATGATGTACCTAGTGCAGTCCAAGTTAAACTAGACCCTTTCCTGGAGATTTTACGGTCTAAAAGATAATACTACCTTATGGGAGGTGGGGGATTTGAGACTCAGTTAATGAACATGTGCTTTAAGATATTCATATGTAAGGAGCTACAGAAATATCACATACTGTATTGCCACTCAAATGTACCTTGAATATAAGTGACCAGTTTCTTGCCTAAAACAGAAAGTACTGTTACTACAGAAAGGCTATAATACAAATGTGTTTGTAATAAAAATGTGCTTTACATACTAAGACATTTAAAAAAAATGTTCACAAAAGGTGTTCCTAAATGTAGTGGGTCTAGAGGGGGATAAGACGGAGCATCCTATCTTGATTTGGTGAGTTTTGCATGGAGAAGAGTGTACTAAGGTGTACTAATTGGAGTGATATTTTTCTGTCCTCTCTAGTTTTGAGAGTAGAAAGCAGAAGGGAAAATTTCAAAGTTAAAATGTGCAACTTTCACCTGTGCAATAGGAATCTTACAGCACCATCTAGTGGCTACTGTGCTTATTACTAGGGCACTTTTTACAGAGCAGATGTTCTCCTATGACAGTGGTCTCCAACCTTTTTACACCCAAGATCACTTTTTAAATGTCAGAATAAGCCAAGATCTATCCTTCCCCCAAAGCCCCACCCCTTCCTTGAAGCCCTGCTCTCTCTATTCTCCTCCTCTCCATCACTTGCTATCCCCATGCATCTGAGGGTTCGGAGGGAGTTGGCAAGTGTCATTGTGGAGCCTTTGGTCATTATCTTTGAAAACTCATGGATATCGGGAGAGATCCCGGATGACTGGAAAAAGGCAAATGTAGTGCCCATCTTTAAAAAAGGGAAGAAGGACGATCCAAGGAACTACAAACCAATCTGCCTTATCTCAGTTCCCAGAAAAATCATGGAGAGGATCCTCAAGGAATCCATTTTGAAGCACTTAGAAGAGGGGAAAGTGATCAGGAATAGTCAGCATGGATTCATGAAGGGCAAGTCGTGCCTGACCAATCTGATTAGCTTCTATGATGAGGTAACTGGCTCTGTAGATATGGAAAAGTCAGTGGATGTGATCTACCTTGATTTTAGCAAAGCTTTTGATACGGTCTCCCACAATATTCTTGCCAGCAAGTTAAGAGAGTATGGATTGGATAAATGGACTGTAAGATGGATAGAAAGCTGGCTAGACTGTCGGGCCCAATGGGTAGTGATCAACAGCTCGATGTCAGGTTGGCAGTCGGTTTCTAGCGGCATGCCCCAAGGATCTGTTCTTGGATTGGTTTTGTTCAACATCTTTATTAATGACCTGAATGAGGGAATGGATTGCACCCTCAGCAAGTTTGCAGATGACACTAAGCTGGGGGAGAGGTGAATATGTGGGCAGGGATAGGGTCTAGAGTGACCTGGACAGATTAAAAGATTGGGCCAAAAGAAATCTGATAGGGTTCAGCAAGTACAGTGTAGAGTCTTGCACTTGGGACGGAAGAATCCCAAGCATTATTACAGGCTGGGGACTGAATGGCTAAGTAGCAGTTCTGCAGAAAAAGACCTGGGGATTACAGTGGATGAAAAGCTGGATATGAGTCAGCAGTGTACCCTTGTAGCCAGGGGCGGCCCTAGACTAGCTGCCAGCAACTGGCGCCCTAGGCAAACCATACAATAGGCGGGCTCCCCCCGCAACCCCAAGGGCAGATATAGACTGAGGTTTTTGGTAAACTGGGAAACATTTTGCCCCTATTTTCTATGTAATGTTTTTTAAGCATATTTATTTAAACAGGCATAATTATTCGGTTTGACCGTCCAACTAATGTTTCTGAGATCAGATTAAAATAGAAACACGAAATTTTCAGAATAGAATTGTACACGACAGTTAGATGGTATTTCAGTACGATTTCAAATAAAAATGCATTACAAATGTTAATTATAATTTTTATTATTACAAAACAAAAATAGTCCATTACGCTATCCTGCTTTAACTGCCATTACCACAACATCACTGGAGAGAGGGGGGCTGGGAATGGAGATCTGTGGCTGGGGGGGGGGGGGGGATGGAGTTCTGTGGCTGGGGAGAAGGAAGTGGGGTGCCAGTGGGGGGAGAGAGTCCCCTGCACCCTCTCCCCCCCCAGGATTCCCCCCCCCAAGGGAAGCCGGCA